CTACATTTAGTGGAGCCGAATGTTTGTCGAGCAATTGGTAATTTCGGTCAGATGGAGATGTGCTCATTTGCCTTTCGAAGGACACGCTAAAGGCCTCGGCTATCTCTAGTCCAGAGAGGTTCTCTCCGTTCAGGCCTTTCAGGACGCAAGCCTCCTGGCTGGTGGATTTTCCGCCTGCCATAAATCGACATAGGTTTTTGGGGTGCTCCTTAGGGTCCTGGGCAAGGTTCATCTGGAACGACCTCCTGTCTCCCCTCACTTTGATGTTGCATCGATTTCTTAGGACCATATAGGCGGTATGGTAAGATTCTCTTCTGGAGATCGTCCACCTACGCCATGCTTTCCCCTTGGCTTTTAAAAGGTGTTTAGTGCCTCGCCTCTGCCACGAGGCACGCTTCCTCGATATTACCGTAGTCGCTGGTATGTTTTCAGAAATAGCCCTCTTGACGATATCTCTAACTGGCTCCCAGTGTTGATCAATCGAAAGGTTACCCATTCCTGAGGTCATGGCGCTGTCGACAGGTATTGTTTCAACGCCACGTAGTTTGCCCTGCTGTAGCAAAGACAAGGGAGAGACCCCTCCCATGACAGCTGTTCGTTGAATACCAGGTCGAACAATACCACGCCATGATCGCTGCTGCCATTGGGGTTTGAGTCTGAACGTTTTTAGCCAGCGGCCGGTCGCCGATAAAAAGTTAGCCCGGTTTGGATGGTTTTCCGTCCGACACCCAGCGAGGGTCATCTCGAATATTCTCGTGCAGTCCAACCTTTTTGATGGTGCTGAGTTGGTTCCGGTCGAACTTTTGACTTGAGGTTCCTCTGTCCTACCCAGGATTGAGAGTTGGAGCATTAGAGTCGCCTACCATAATGACCCGGTCATATCCTGGTCATTATTTGCGGCAGTTATCTGTCACGTTCTGTAGACGTCCCCTACTAGGTACTTGGTGTGTCCAACCGCAAGGTGATACCAGATGGAGTCTGGTAGCCCTGAAAGTGGAGTTTCAGTTGCTTGTTAACCTTTAAGATGGTCGCCTATAAACATTGCCACTCCGCCTCCTTCCTTAAACCCCTTGTCTCTCGTGAACGGACGTATACCGTCTGTACTGGTTTCGATGCCACTTATATACGGTGATAACTAAGTTTCTGTTAGGATTGTGACCTTCGGAGCAAGGTATAAACAGGAAGATCGTCGTTCCCCCATCTTACCTTTAAGGCCCCCTCACATGGCTGCTAAGATGCTTCAGATGTTTTTACAACATGGGGTGGCTTGGTGGCGGTAGACTGAAGGAGGTCATGCACAATGGCGAAATTTGCTGCAGGACGGCCAGACCCAGTGGAACCGGCCCATTTAAGTTTTTCTGACAGTGGTTTCAGGGGATTTAATAAGAGTCTAGGCTGGCTCGGATGTCTTGTCTGTTGGCACTGATGGCGGCTTCAGCACTGGGCAGGGGGTGTCGTTTGCTTTCACAGCAGAGAAAGTTCCCGCTGGTGTTGTCTCTTATTGCGTACCAGCTTTGCAGCACTTTGGTTAAAAGTTCTTGATGCCCAAAATCATTAGCCATCAGACTGGGTGATGCTATAGTCGTCAAATATGAGGGGCGTGGCTGTCTGGTTGACACGATGGCCCCTAGACCCTGAAACAACTTCAGTGACGGGAAACTGGCGAACGCCGCGAGGAATTTTTTGGAGTTCTTCAGAAGCCGTCCAGACGACAATTTGCCAAACAAATTTTGTGTTTCTTCAGAGAAGAGAAGGCCCATATTTCGCGTTGCTTTTCTGTTTTTGGTGTGTTGGTGCAAACCACACTGTAATCATTTCTAAAGAATTATACCTGGAGTATACTAAGAGGTACGTCTTCATCTACGTCGGCAGTATATGTCTTACAGCGAATCCCGAGTGTTAAGTAACAGCCTGTCGTTAAATGTAATAAGAAGGTAGCAGAAATCTTCGCGAAGACGTGCAGTTAGAGGTCACAGCGATATCAACTTTCGCTAATAAGGCGAGGCATAAGTCTAGCAGGAGCATAAGAATGCACATAAGGTAGACAAATGTATTATGACGCTTCATCATGCCCTGCGTACCACTTATTCCGCATCCACTGCGATCACTTGCAGACAGCAAAATTCATATGCCTCGCGTTCTTGATGCAAAGTACGAGTAGCAAATAAATGAAAATGGTCTGGTTCATAAACGCTCTCTGTGTGCTGTAAAGTGATACATTTTAGTTCGCTTTATATTTTAGTGTTATGGCTAAGATTCCCCCCTGCCATCTTCAGAATCAAGAACCTTTAGAAAGCCGTCATCTTCTTGGCCTTTTTCCGTCTGGCCAAGCTGTTACATTGGTTTAGCTCATGTCACATTTATAATACGAGAATAAAGTGATTCGTTTAAATGATTTATTTAGCCCCACACACAGCTTGCGGCAGTCTGATACTGCCAAACAAGTTGGACCTATTACCCTGGCCTCAACTGCACAGGAACTAACTCTCTTTGTACATAAACATGCTCACTTTTGCACGTATACTCCTGTCTACCACCACAACTTCAAGTTTGCCATCGCTCATGGGTATCACAAACTCGCCACATGTGCTTAGGTGGATTCAGAATCGCCATAAGCTTCGCCTAATTTTAATTTCCGTCCCCAGGATACGTCTTTTATGCCAGTTCACTATTAATCACTCTGAAACCTTGTATTTCGTCTCTACATTAGCGGAATTTACGGGGTCAGCTCCACCCTGAAAGGAGAGTGACGTGAGAAAATGCTGTCGACCATTGCAATGACATACTTACTTGGGTCTGCAACTGCCTGGAACACATGTGCTACCTAAATACAACAACAGCGTATGAAGAAGTAGATTACAACCACAGCGCTATCTACCGTCATGTACTAAACTTCTTCAAAAATTACTTTACGTTGCCCATCGGTTTTGGGACAACCCGAGACAGGTGGACAATGAGCTGGAACCCCGAGTTCCGGTTCAGTTGATTTCGCTGGTCTTTGTTGATGCCTTCGATGTGGTGTCACATGCTGATTTCACGCGCAAAACAGCGAAGTATGGTATCGGTGGTCAGGTGCTTTCCTCCCTTGAAAGCTATCATGGCGGTTGGGAGTTTTGTACCAAATGTAACAGGGCTTGCTCAGCTTGGTCAGCAACATGGTCCAGCGTGTCATGGGGAGCAAATTTGAGCCACATGGTATTCCCACCTTTGCGAATGATCTCCTATAGTCTCAGACTCTTGAGTTATCGTCACGCCGACGAACTTAAGTCACGGGTGGCTGCACTATTTGAATGAGAACCAAGCGCACCTGGAAAACTGTCAAACTGCGTCTTTCCCGCATTCCTAACTTGCATAAGAAATCCTTCTCTCCCTGTTGTGCGCGCCTTTTTGACGCACTGCGGCGAAGGACCTGGAACCAGCTCTGACTGACAGAACAATCTCTAGTTTCAGCCTTTCAGTAAGCGCCTTCAGGGACATGGAATTACCGAAGTTCTTACACAGGTAACTAGCTGCCCTTACCCCGCGACGCTTTTCGAAAGTTTTACAACACCCAAGCAACCTCAATAAGAGATCGATGGCCTCGCATTGTTATAAACCATTCGTCGTGGACAGGCAGACGACATTGCTTCGGCATATCCACGTCAGTCATGGATTGACGCTAGCAGCAATAAAAAATACCAAGTGGGTAGGACTACGCCAGCCCAGACCGAGTTAGGTATACCTTTTTCCAGAAGTTGGAGTCGCTGTACCTCTGGCTGCTTGTGGATTGAAGGATGGCTCAAGATGACGTGGGTTTTTGGTTACGGAAAGAAAGCTGCATTCTGGCCAGTGTCGTCGAGGTAACAAGCTATCATTCTCACGTCAGTTACATACAACAAGCTGCCTCTTCCGCCATCTACGGTTGCAGTTAACGCACGCCAGCGGGGAGCTTACACGTTTCATGGAGTCTTTATGGAAGGTGCGCGGTCATCGACAATTCCTGGCCTCGTCATACTTGTTGTGGAGCCATCATCGCTAGGGCTTAAACCCAAGAAGAACCTAGCTGCTGGACGACAGCCTGAAATGCAGTGGTGGGACAAGACACACTGCTGTGTTGTACATCATGATTCAGGATCCCAGGCTCATAAAAGCTGCTTAAAAGCCTTACATATAGCTGCTAAATCCTGGTTTTAGATGGCAGAATATGCTTTGGATCACCAGTATTTCATCAGCTGAAGCTGCCCCTCGCTGAAGTTTCACCAGCACAGTTTTCACCTGTCACGATGGTTTCAAAATGAGCTATTCATGAAGTAGACAAAAGGGCACACGTGGAACGAGCTCACTAGTTTTGGAATTGGTGTTAGGTGAGCTTCGCAGATGTGATGGTCAGTCACCAACTACCCTTACTCGTTATGCACCCATGGGTGAGAGACTAAGAAACAACAAAGTAGAGCAGCTAAGTGGAATGGCACACTTGATAACGTGTGCCGAAATGCCGATGGGTTCCGGCCAACTGGCTCGAGTGTTGCACACCAGCAACGCAACAGAAGACAACAAGTGCCAAATGCTGTGAATGCCTTCATTTTAGAAAGCCCATCAAAGCTATGAAGGTCAGCACGGATCTTGAATCTCTTCGAACCCCTGGCTATTAATTTCAGGGACAAAATTACTGTCATATTTAAGTTGGCCGCCGCATACTCTATTCTTGTGCATAAGTTAGCAAGCATAGAAACTTGTATTCCACTAATTCCAAATAGAGAAAGTAGGCGACGGAAAGTTCCTCCTTCTTCGTCAATAACCATTCAGATAATTTGAAGCATTCTTCTATTTCTTTTGGAGTTCATGTGCTGGACACGTTTACGGTCACAAGAAAAATCACTCACTGTCATATGCTCAACCCCTTATATAACAACATTTTTAAAGTCTTTACGAAAACTGTCGACAATTATTCGACATAACAGTTCACTTTTTACATGTAACTGTCAATGAGTAAGTATCTTTTAACGGCACTTACTGCAACTTACGAATATTGCGCTACAAAGCACGACGGCTGTTAACTGTAGTTTTCGATTAGTGTTCGGATAAGGGGCAGTTTACGTCAGGTAAATTGTGACTCGTAGCAAAAAACAAGGAATGAGTAGTCTGTCATATGGGTATATTCCATCCTCTGATGTAACTTCAAATATTTTGTGTATTCTGTAATTCTTACACTTACTGAAAAAACTACTTTTTCTGTAACAATCAATAGCATCCGGCCGTTAAGAACTGGTTTGATGTCATCCATTTTTAAATAAGCTTAGATATACTGATATACGTGAAAATTTACTTGGGTTTGGAGTATATGGCAGTTATAGTTATAAGCTAGCCTAATGCACACAATTTTTAAGTTAGTAAAGATGAAGACATCGGAGGAAAAAACACCTAATAAGTCAGAAGTACAGACTAGTATGTAAAAGTATAACAAGAACAAGTAGCTTCACTTTTTCGCTGCTCTATTTTCTCGTAATTACCCACTACTCGTGTTTCGTTAACACCAATACTTCTGGAACTGGTTCCACTGACAACACTCTAGTGTAAATACGCAACTTTATTCACCTTATCTAGTCATTGAAGTTACACTGTCTGCAGTTCGTCTTAGCAAACTAAAAAGGCTGGTTGCTTGGTACAATCGCTGAATACATTTTTAGTAAGATTGTGAAAAACAAGCAAGGTTATTCATTAGCTCCTTGTACTGCTAGTACTGCTGAAGCTGTACGCTGACGTTGAGAACGTAACTTTTGCGGTGGCCGGCTGTCATCCTACCCCACCTAATAAGATGTTAGCGGGATGTTATTTATTTTGACGAAGTCAGTCCATGAACATATGAGTTCAATATAATAACTCACATGAAAGCTATGCATCATCGTATCGTTTGTGTACTAACACAATTTTCTTCCGGGTGTGGTTGCCACTTAGTCGATTTATAGCGTTATGAGGCCGATTGCATCCTGCCGAGATAAGATTACAAGATGGACTTAAATAGTATGTAGAAGCGAATATTAGGTAGTTTTCTTTATTACTTTCATAGACGTCAGTTAGTCAGGGTCAGTGTAGGACCTTCGTAACGGTCCATCTCCCCACATGTCAGCACATCGAAGTAGAAAGTATCGGGGTAAAGAAGCAAGAAAACGACAAGGAGAAAAAAAAGTTCTCTCTGAAAGCTAAGTAAAGGTAATTTGTGGATGTATCTGCGCCATTGTTTCTGAGTCTGTGCTGTATCATCGGAGTCTTCAGTGGCCAATTTTAGTTGTCACATAGACCCTGACCGGCTGATTAACATTCCCCTATGTGGGCTTGCACAGGAGGCGAATGGAATATCGAGTGAAATACTTCCAGAATACTATTTACTCAAATGGCCATATATCAACAGCACAGCAAAGATCACAATCCATGAAAAATTAAGTGAAACAAAAAGCATGAGTAAACAAGTAACTCATCTCCGAAGCTATATCTCAGATTTATCTTTAACGTGTTTCACTTCGATCCATATGATTTCATCATTTAAAACCTCGAAGGCAACGATATATTAGCTTTCCTTAAACATGCACCCGCAAGCAGTTCATTTTAATGTTCATTCCATCTAACGACTAACTTTTAACTTTATTTTCACTAGCGTTACTGTTAATTGGTATTTTACTTGAGGAAAATGTTAACTCTACTTGTGCCACTACTGTTTTTGTCGACAAGAGTGTTATCTGAACACTTTGATACTGTCATTGGTTGTGGTGGTTTTATACGTTGGAAAGAAGCCCCATCTGATTCGAAACTCGACTTCAAGAAACTGAAGATCAGTCTATTTTCAGAAACCACTTCTACTTTGAAGGATGTAACGGATGTTCTACCTAATGGAGCGTATTCTGTCCCCTTATATGATGAGAGTGTTTACAGAATAAGGCTGAATACACCTAAAGGCTGGTACATCGAACCGTCTGATGGCTACCTGTTGGACCTTCGGAAAGACCCAAAAGCTTGTTCCAAAGATTTTGATTTCAGTATTGTCGGGTTCTCAATTTTCGGCCAGGTAGGTTTATTTATTTGTTATCTAAATATAATTTTCTAGGTGACTACCTCCGGTATGCAGACTGGTCCTCCTGGTTTATCTGTTCGATTGAATGAATTAGCATCTCACAAACCAGTGCTTCAGAATGTTACTCAAAGTCAGGGTCATTTCATCATTTCTCCAGTTTCCCCTGGAAGCTATTCATTAGTAATCAGCAACCAAGACCACGCTGAAAAAAATCACACACGAGCATCCATTGTTGTCAAAGTTCTATCTGATAGTATTGTTCTCTCAGAACCAATAGTTCTTCTTGTAAGTTACCCAAACTGCTATTTACGAGATAGTTTTTCATACAGGTTTAATTAAGAATTTTGAGCGGTCACCCATAATCTAATAATCAGAGGTACATTATCTGCTGTACTATACGTTTGTCGATTATCTGCTTAGAACTAAGTGTATTCCAACCACCTTGTAAATCACCATTTCTTTGAAGCAGTTTCCGCTTCGGTATCATAAAGTCTGTTATGAAACTCATTTAATACTGTTAACAAGACTAAACACTCAGTAGCAATAGTCTTGTTGGGTTTTTCCGTTTTTATCTCTACTTTTAGAATCTGACTAAATCGCTTGGTTATATTACATTTACTTTTATGGATAAAAAGTGCAACTCGGCAGGGTACTAGTTTTAAAACCAAAATGCCTAGTAGTGTCATATTTTGATCCAGAGAATTTGTGGTGAAAATAAGTAACTCAATATTGACCGAGTAGCCTTTACTTTCAACTGTTCTGTTAATTTTTTTGTTTCGTATTGATAACTCGTTAACTGATGTATGAAATTTATCCGGTTGCGTAAAAAAAAGAAATAAGTCTTAGCTCTTGGAAATAATAGATCATGTTGAAATTAAGTGAAATAGAACTATTTGATCACCTTAGTATCTTTTGCATCTCTTGGATTTACTGAATTACTGTGTTAGCAGTGAAGTCAGATTTAGAGTTGACGGTTATTAACCTTTATCATTATGCTGTAATCACACCTAATCGGATAAGTAAAGTTAACTGGAGTAGCATTAGACCGAAAGAAAGCTAAGGAAAACCGGACCAATATATGTTATCTACTCGAAGCCTTCATTTGCTATTCCGAGTCATGTTGGGAAAGACACGTTTCGTGGTTAGAGCTAATAAGTTTGCCAAAATAGATGATAAAGGAATAGAAGTTATGGTAAACAGTCGATCGCAGTAGCATAGATGCATGTATACTTCATCTTTGTATACATTTTAGTCTACTCTGTTGCCAGTCGTGGCAACTTAGACTCGTACACTTTTGTATAAGTTCCTACGTTGATATACCCACGTTTCATAGGCTTTGAGGACTATTTTTTATACCCTTTCCGGGGTTTATGGTTTTTTCCACTAATATCATAGTTTCTTGGTTTTGCTTTGCGTTCATTTTTACTTTCTATACTTAGTGAGAATTATCACTACGTAAACTAGTACCAGATTTGGTATCTTTTTGTCCTCTTTTGCAATATAAATACGTGTAACCAACGAAACTCGCGAATACTGTTTTTACATGCTGCTACACATTTTCAGAACATTTGACAAATACAGTGAAGCAACTAATAAAGTCTATAGTTTTCCTTTTCGTGTGTTCCCTCTTGGTACAGCAACAAAAGAGTGTGGAGAAAGTATGAAGGACTTTACTAATGAAGAAAGCAGTGAGAAAGAAGCTTTAACTTCATTGTTTTTTTTTCGTTAGTGAGATTTTTAATATCAGTTTATTTCTTCATGTAGGGACATTTTCTTCGTGGACGCGTGGTGGATTTTCACAAAAATCCCATAGTCAATGCAAGAGTCTTCCTTCTTTGCGATAAAGCAAAAGCAACCTTGAATACCTCTATTACTCCTGACAAGTTGGTTTCTTCTTTGATGGTGGAAACTCTTGGTGAAACTTACCACAGGTTCTTTCTATCACAAGAGGTAATATCCATCTTTCTGTACGTATATATATATATATATATATATAACTACATTATGATAATATACTGTTCGTTTCTTATTCATACTATGCTTCCTATCAATGATCATTGTGAACCCAACGCCGTACATGTTCTCCCACAAGGTTATCAGACAATTATGTAGGGATTTATGATAACACTCGGTATCTCAGATACTGATATCAGCCAAAATACTAACCACTTTCAATGTTAGTCTCGCATTTTTACTAGTAATCTTCAATCGAGTTCAGCGTTGTGTAATTTGATTATGATTGTATCAGGAGTGGTCAAAACTCACATCTTAATCTTGTGGTTTCACATATTTGAAGTATCTCTAATCATGTCCAGAGTATAATGCCTGTTAAATTTACTTTCTCTCTGATATAGTCTTCGACGGACACGAATGGTTATTTCACGTTTGATCGTCTTCCAGGCGGTAGCTATATTCTTGTAGCCTCATACTCTCCGAAAAAACCGAGTGCAAAGTTTACATTCACTCCGAAATTCTACCCAATAATCATGGAACATGATGATGTCGATCTTGGGTTAGACACATTCACTTTGGAAAGCTTTAAGCTTAAACCAGGACGTGTGCTCTGGTCCAATAGGACTCCGATTTCGTCAGCCAAGGTAATTTGTTTTATTTTTCTCATTGTCGTGTATTCAGTGGACTTTTAGGTGATCTCTTTATCCAGAATTATCCTACTCCATTGATTTTTAAAACTCGTCAAATTTAGTAACTTTTTGCCTTCAATATGAATATTGACCGAGAGAACTTCCCGCATAACATTTCTCAATGTCATTATTGAGTAACTATCCCTTCGAATTTCCTAGCATTCGCCCATATCTCGGGTAAATAGTATTTTGCAAGTAGTATGTGCCAAAACATTTCGACATATGCGCACATGACTTCCACCGCTAATATGGCGTTAGCAATCAGTACCTTTGGATGAGAACTAGGTTTGTTAGCCCCACGCCCACCCAATGGATAAGTGAAAGTCATCACTGTTTGTGTTCGCCATGAGCTAAAAGGTTACTGAGATTCACATTCTGAACTGAATTTATCCTTATCATTTTAAATATTGTCCATATGGACTGGGTTGAAATTCATGTTTTCCATCACAATAACGTCTATTTGCTGTGTATGCTTTCAAAACCTTTATGTTTTCCTCGATAATTTTACTAATCACTAGATCGAAATTACTGGTAAAGCTCAAAACTCTGTAATATCGGATAGTGATGGCTTTTATCAGTTGGGGAATTTAATTCCGGGTGAATATACGTTCCAGGTAAGCTTTTCTTACGTGTATAATGTAGTTCCATTTCTTAGTCTACATGCGCTAATGTAATGACTGGTTTCTCATATGCTGCACTTGATCGGATACTGTTTTGTTATTTTGATGCAGGTGACTGACTAGTCTAAAGGTGTGACTGTCGACCGGTAATCTACAGGTTCTAACCTCTTCACTTTCGATGCTTAAGCAGCTGAGTGGTGTGATCAGCCATCATATAGTGAGTGTGGTTTATTGCTTCTTACACAAACCAGAATGGTAATTGAATTACATCTCATATTCATTCATGATTGGTTTCCTAGTACAATTAGTAGATATATTACTCGACGGATTTAAGAATTCCTCACACATATCTACTGTAACATATTTCAATCCTAACTATTGGGTCCACCTCATTCTATCCTCCTTGTTCAGGTATGATGAGTTGGTCGAAGCAATTGACTTCTAAGCAATAGTAGGTCATGGGTTTGAATCTCCCGTCCACCTGCTGAGATACAGGCAACCAAGCGGTATAATTAACCATCTCAGGTTATTTCACTGTCTAGTAGAACATGCACATGGTTAATGAGTTATTACTAAACGATAGTCAGTCCCCCATACGTAGTGGCTCAAAAACCATTGCTTGTAGTTACAACGGGTCGCGATCGATGCCTTCTATGTTGACGTTGTGGTCAAGTTCGTCTATCGAAATGTTCCGACAACCTATGCTGACTGGATTGATTGTTTCTTGAGGTCCTACTGTGCCTCTAGGTCTGTAAGACAAAACGCACTCAGTCATAGTGTGATAGCCAATGTCTTATATTGGGTGGTGCAGGGCTGTAGCCATTCTGCTTGCTGAACAGGTTCTGACAGTGTTGACGTATTTCCTGCGAAACAGCATTCATTGCTGATGCTTCATTTCCTTATTGGAAGGAGGCGTTCGACAGTGTCGACTTCAAACATAGCACACTATGCCCTCTGTCTTTCGGTGTCGCTGTTATGGCTTTTCTACTATCTACTCCACTCAATACAAAACTCTTGAGAACGCTTTGTGTGACCGACCTCGAGCAATCGTCTCCTACCTTCTGCAATCACGAGTTCACGTCATGAAAATCATCCCAACCGATTCACTTTCTTTTCAACAACAGATAAGAATCCACTATGTCAACCGCCATCACACTTCTTTCAGCACTCCAGTACCTTTCAATCATCATCATCATCATCATCAGTCTATCATATCCTTACCTTTCAATACTTAGTCGCATGTCTGTTAACATCCCTTCATCATGCTAATCACACCCAGTTCTGCAATCCTTGATGACGATTCCAGTTTACTGACTAGCATGTCTAGTCTCTTGAACCTCACTCCAAATTATTGATGAATCTCCTAATATCCGTCTTCTTCGTCAGATCAGATAGGCTTTGCTAGCCAAAACTTGGGTGAGGCTGGACAGTATTGTTTAGGAGGGTCAGTGAGAAATCACACTCTTTCTGTAGCACATTTTTCTACGGTGGTCACTTGTTGATTCTCGT